AGTCACTTTTTGTTTATGACCCTTGTTTTACAAAAGTAAAGTCATAATTTAAATATGCCTTCTTTTATCCAAAAAATGAAGAAAGAACTCTCAATACAAGCCTCTTTAAACTTAAGAAATCTGTTTGAACTCCTGAACCTTTTTTAAAAAATTGACTCTATTTTGAATTACAAAGAAACAGATATTTTCAGTTTTAACTTAGTACAACATAAAGGCAAAAGAATGAGTAATTAATTATACTAACAAATGATTGCATTTTTCTCTCATCTGTTACAGATAGATGAGAGAGACACAATCCCAGATAAAACAAGATATTAACCTTTAAAAAAATTCTTAACACCCAGTTCTCAGTACAGAGCTCTCCAAAAACACAAAACCAATTATTAAAAAAAATAATAATGAGTTTTTGAGTCAGAATGGCCAAATCTGAATCCAGGATCCATCAGTTAAGTAAACTTTAGCAAGTTACTTACTCTCCCTAAACCTCAGTTTTCTGATGTGTAAAGGGGGTTTAATAATATTATTTTACCCTTTGAAAACTCTGATCCCTGAAAACATAAAGCATCTAAATTATTCTGAATTTATCCTTGGCATATAGTAAGCATTATGTAATTATTTTAAATTACAGTTAACATTAGTAGCATCTGCTTACTCATAGTTCATTTTATGATAATAGCCCTGACAGCCAAACAAGCCATTTAAATAACAGAGTGTAAACCAAATTTGTACTGAGAGCTTTCTTGGTGTCCTAATATTCCATAGAACATATTATCCCTGCAAAAGGAAAAGAATAGAACCCAGAGCTTCCTCAGACCATGGCCCTCTTCTTTGTGTGGCAGGAATGACTAACCAGAAGCCGGGATAATAATGTGAGGCCATGTTTCTGATGCTCTACAACTGTATGTTCTGGAACCCAGTACAGAATAAATTGAGCCATATAAGGACATATAAGAACCATGAGGACATATAAGAGAGACCCATATAATACTACTGTCTAAAACAGTGGTCTCCAAAATCAGAGGGGAAAAAAAAAAAAGCATTTTAAACATGCGCCCTGAAATAAATACATAATTTATGTTATGTGACCTACTGTACAAAGTACGTTAGAAAACATTCTGAGGAAAGGATTAACAGATCTGAACCTTTCTCCAAACACCGTCTCCTTGGAAACATTTTGGGCTATGATAAATGGGGAATGCCAGCTGTGTTTCCAGGCAACATTGTTTATTATTGGTGGAACGCATCTGGACCAAGAGGTCTATGAGTGAACTATAAAATCATTCAGGACTCACAGACCTCAGTTTACTGTATGAGGTGTGTTCTCACAACGGAGGGCATCTCTTGAGGAGATTGGGGCTGCTACCAAGATACTGGTTTCTGTGGAGCTTGAGCCTTATGCAAGGCAAGTTAGTCCATGCCTACCTATGTGGCTTATTCATCTTGAAACTAAGTTGGGGGGCGAGGGAGAAGAGGTGGGAAATGATTCCTAACCAACCAGAGGGATCTCCAAAGAAATAGGACCTGACATTATCCTATTGACTTTCTATGTTTCCTATCCTCTATTACTCTACTCAGTCAAGCGAACCTGAAGTTAGACGATGGCCTATTGTGTTATATTAGTGTGAGTCTCAAGACGAAACCACAGTCCACTCTGGCGATCACAGAGATACATAAATACATATTATGTACATATATTATTTCCTTCCTCTAAGCTAATGGATTATTTTAAACACTATACCATTGAATAAACTGCTTCGGTTGACACACTTTTCAGAACACTTGGGGTAGGGGGCGCCTGGGTAGCTCAGTCAGTTAAGTGGCTGCCTTCAGCTCAGGTCATGATCCCAGGATCCTAGGCTCAAGCCCCACATCAGGCTCCCTGCTCAGCAGAGAGTCTGCTTCTCCCTTTCCCTCTGCTTGTCACTCTGCCTACTTATGCTTTCTCTCTAGTTCTCTGTCAAATAAATAAATAAAATATTTTTTTTTTAAAAAAGGAACTCCTCTGTTTAAAAAAAGAAGAAGAAGATATTTGGAGTATATTCTTTGTAACAATCTTAGGATATGCTCTTTTTTTCCTTTGTGATCTGATGTTTTTTACACATCCTTGTCTTTGGTCATTGTAAACCTTTGGCTTTCTCTGCAAGTATTATTACAGCCAGGCCTTTTTGTTTTGTTTTTATTTTTATTCATTTCTTTTTATTAAGTTTTGTATTTTAATTCCAACATAGTTAACATATAGTGTCACATTAATTTCAGTGATTCAATAATTCTAATCTTTAATCAGTGTTCTGTGAACCCCAATGTTTATAGCAGCATTATCAACAATAGCCCAACTATATGGAAAGAGCCCAACTATCCATCAACGGATGACTGGATAAAGAAGCTGTGTGGGGTGTGTGTGTGTGTGTGTGTGTGTGTGTGTGTGTGTGTATACATATAAAACATGAAAAAGAACATGAACACAGTGGAAGGTAAAAAAGATGGGTGGGGGAAGCAAACCAAAAGACTCTTAACTATAGAGAACAAACTAAAGGCTGACAGAAGGAGAGGGCAGGGAATGGGCTAGATGCTTGGTGAGTATTGAGGGCACTTGTGAAGAGTGCTGGGTTATATGTAAGTGATGAATTACTAAATTCTATATCTGAAACAAATTTTACCATACATGCTAACTAGAATTTAAATAAAAACTTGAAATTAAAAAAAAACAAAACAAAAACAATAGTCAGTGTTCATCCTAAGTGTACTCTTTAACCCCTATTTAATCACTTATTTCACCCATCCCCCCACCCGCTTCCCCTCTGGTAACCATCAGTTTGTTTTCTATAGTTAAGAGTCTGTTTTTTAGTTTGTGCCTTTCTTACTTTTTTTCTTTTGCTTTTTTGTTTTGTTTCTTAAATTCCACAGAGTGAGATTATATGGTGTTTGTCTTTCTCTGACAGACTTAGTTCACTTTGCATTATACTTTCTAAGATCATCCATAGTTGCAAATGGCAAGATTCCATTCTTTTTTATGGGCGAATAATATTTCAGTGTATATATATACTACATCTTCTTTATCCAGTCATCAATGGGTGGACATATGAGCTGCTTCCATAGTTGGGCTATTGTAAATAATGCTGCTATTAACACAAGGGTGCATGTATCTTTGATTTAGTGTTTTTGTATTCTTTGGGTAAATACCCAGTGGTGTGACTGGTAGATCATAGGGTAGTTCTATTTTTAACTTTTTGAGGAAACTCCATGTTGTTTTCCACGTGGCTGCACTAGTATTCAGGCCCACCAACAGTGCAAGGCCGGGGAGGGGTTTCGATATCTCCACATCCCTGCCAACACTTGTTGTTGCTTGTGTTTTTTGTTTTAGCCTGAGGTATGGAGTGATATCTCATTGTAGTTTTGATTTGTATTTCCCTGATAAGTGATGTTGTGCATCTTTTCCTATGTCTGCTGGCCATCTGGATGTCTTCTTTAGGGAAATATCTGTTGATGTCTACTGCTGATATTTTAAAGATTTATTTATTTTCTAGAGTGAGTGCGTGCCCATGAGCCGGAGGAGGAGAAGAGGGCAAGGGAGAGACAGAATCTCAAGCAGACTCCCCACTGAATGTGGAGCTTGATGTGGGGCTTGATCTCACAACCTTGACATCACGACCTAAGCCAAAATCAAGAGTCAACGCTTAACCAACTGAGCAACTCAGGCACCTGTTCATGTCTTCTGCCCATTTTTTAATTGGATTATTTGGTTTTGGGATATTGACTTATATCAGTTCTTTACATATTTTGGATACTAAATCTTCATTAGGTAAATCATTTGCAAATATCTTCTTCCATTCAGTAGGTTGCCTTTTAGTTTTGTTAATTGTTTCCTTCACTGTGCAGAAGTTTTTGATTTTGATGTAGTCTCAATAGTTTACTTCGCTTTTATTTCCCTTCCCTCCGGAGACACATCTAGAAAAATGTTGCTCTGGACTGTTAGGCCTTTTTAAACTAAAAACTGGCAACTCTATTGCTATAAATTCTGCAGCAGCAAGACATAAGGAATTCCTAAAAATACAAAAACTAAAATACTTTCTTGAAGTCTTCTCTTCCTACTAACTTTCTCTTAGACATTATCAGAGCATAACCATAGAGCAGCCCCTGGGCAGCTCTGTCAGTTTACTGCCCACCTCTTCATTGTGGCTCAGGTCATGATCTCAGAATTATGAGATCACGCTCAGTGTCGGGCTCCATGATGGGCATGGAGTCTGCTCAAGATTCTCTCTCTCCCTCTGCTACTTCCCCCATCTCCCTCTACCTTCTCTCTCTAAAAAGGAAAAAAAAAAAAAAAAAGGATGTAACTATAGAGGACTACAATTTAAAAATTGCAATACTGTGGGGGCACCTGAGTGGCTCAGTTGGTTAAGTGTCTGACTCTAGATTTCAGCTCAGGTCATGGTCTCAAGGTCCTGGGATCAAACCCCACATTGGGCTTCATCTTCAGTGAGGAGTCTGCTTCTCTCTCTTTCTCCCTCTCTCTCTGCCCCTCCACCTGCTCACACACTCTCTCTCTAATAAATACATCTCGTAAAAAGAAACCTGCAATACTGTGGGACAAGTAACTCTTTCAGTTTTATTTTTTTTAAAGATTTTAATTATTTATTTGACAGGGAGAGAGAGCACAAGCAGGGGGAGCAGAAGAGGGAAAAGCAGGCTCCCCACTGAACAGAGAGCCAGATATGGGTCCAAGCCCAGAACCCTGGAATCATGACCCAAGCTGAAAGCTGGTGCCTAACTGACTGAGCCACCCAGGTGCCCCAATTCTTTCAGTTTTAATACATTTTTATACTACTTTCATTAAAATATGCTATGCTAAAAGTAGAACTATCTTCATTCTTGAGACAACTCTCAATTCCGAGTAACCAAATAATTTTACCACTTCCTATGAAAATTCCTATAATCTTTCATTACCCCATGTTTAGGTATACATGTTTTTAAAAATATTTAAAAATATTTTTAAAACTTACCCTGAAACATGTAACATCAGCAGCATGTAGAAGACAAAGAAGAGATTATGAGTATACCAGAAGATGTCATAGTTGGAAACTCTGAAAAAGCAAGTAACTTCATTTCAATGCTACTTTACACTCCATCATTTCGGATACATGTCACAGTTGAAGAAAGTTAAAATAAGAGTTATCTCAGATTCATCTACTAGTATCGAAGTATTAACACATCATGCAGAGAGAACTGAAAAATTATAAATAACACTTTATAATTTTGAAGGTTCTTTGTATTTCAAATAAAGATACATGGAAGGAATTAAAATAAAATATTTAAAGTTATGATAATGTAAGATTGAGGAGTAGGTAATAGAATGCTAATATGCACCTTTACTGTCCTTTTGATCACTATGCTCGATTTCCAAATGATATCTAAAACAAATAATGCTCTTATCCCAATACACACTGTGGGAGTAGTCCAAAGGAAAGGTAAATTGGGAGAAATTAAATAAATGCTCATTAAAGTTTTCTATTCTTTTCCTGAACAGTATACATGCTAAAAATAACACTTTGGTGTTAGTGGTCTGGGAGAGAACCAAGAGCCTGAAAAGGAAAGGCTATGATAAGCACCATCTATGAAATTTTTGAGAAAAGTAGAAAGACTTAACAGTTACTTCATTTCATATGTCTGGGTGGATATTCATATCAGAATCTTGGAGGTGGAGGGCAGAAATTGGTAAAAGCTTCTCAGAAGATTCTGTTACAACCCCTAGACCCTCTTAGAAACCCTGATTTAGGCAGTATCCAATTGAACGGCATTTACTTTATCCACAGCTTTTGCTATCTTGCTAACAAGATCATTATCATCCTCGTAACATATGTCTTTTTTGCACATATCTGATTTCTTTTTGAACCTAAATTCCTAGAAGTGGAAATACTACGTCAAAGGACACACATTTTGTTTTTGATACACATTGCCCATTGCTCTCTGAAGATATGTATCAATTATAAACCGCACTATAGAGTAGGACAGCCTGTTTCTCAAGCCCAGACTCCACTTCATATGTTTCCATTATTTTGTATTAAGTGGAATTGGGTATTATTTCCTTTGTGTGCTACTTGCTGTTAATTCTTCTGTGATTTATCTCTTCAAGATAATTATCCATTTCTACATTTTCTTAATTGTTGTATGTAAACTATTTAAATTTTAAGTATATACTAGTTCCATATAATTACAATAATTTATTATTGGGCAAAGTTTCTTCTAAATTTTTAATGGCATAATTTTTTTTTACAGTTACCTCTAATTTACTAGAATTTCATTCATACAAATTTACTTTCCTCATAACTTTGTTATGGCATCTTTTTTATTCAACAGCTTCATATATAGCAAAGTCCCTTCCAGGGCTTTCTATGAACTCTGTCATTAGATTCAATTCCTTAGTCATTTTTGCAATTAAGTCCTATTGTTTTAAGTTACTGAAGAAGCCTAATCATGCTAATGTTTAGTAAGCCACACTCCCCCTTTTATTCCTCTCTGGAACATGTACTTGAATGTTCCCTCAGATGAACTTTAGAACTGTTTTGCTAAGTTCAAAAGCAAACAAAATAATCTATCTTGGATTTTGATTGGAATTGCAACAACCTATAAAATGATTGAGGAAAAACTCCATCTTTATGGAGTTATGGAATAAAGACAGTCTTTATTCAAATCTCTACTTATGTCTCTCAGTGAAGGTCTTTGTTTTTTTAATATAGCTTTCAATAGTTTTTCTTTTTTTTTAAGATTTTATTTATTTATTTATTTGAGAGAGGGAGTGAGAGAGAGCATGAGCCGGGGCAGGAGAGAGGGAGAAGCAGGTTCCCTAAGAAGCATGACCCTGAGATCATGACCCAAGCTGAAGGCAAATGCTTAACTGACTAAGCCACCCAGGTGCCCCTCAATAGTTGCTTATTAAATTTATTTCCAGATATTCTTTGTTCTTGTTGCAATTGTGAGTGGTACCTTTCTATTTTATTCAATTTCCAAACTGTTAATAGCTGTTACATAAAAGCAATTTTTAGTATTTGTTTTTGTGTTCATTTACCTATTCCAAATCTTTAATTAATTTGGTATAATACTATTCTTTTTCCCATAGTTCTTTTGGATTTTCTGGCTAGACGATTTTATATATATATATTATTCCATTGGGAATAATGGGAAATAATGATGACTTGTTGCATTCTTTCTAATGATTCCATTTCTAATAATTAAAATTGTTTCATTTCTTATCATATATAATATCATATATATATCATAATGGTAGAATTAAAAATACCACTTAGGTTTTCCCATAATTTTCTTAGGAACGTATCTTATGTTTCTTTGGTAAGTATGATCTCAGTTCTGGCTTTTATATTTTTTTAATTCTATAAAGGAAATTAATTTCTAGTTTATTCTACTTATTCTAATTCAGAACTAGAGTTCAGATTTAATCACCATTTTTAAAAAATCTATTGAGATGAAAATATGTTTGTATTCCTATCACCTGTTATTAAAAATATATTAATTTATTTTATTTTATTTTATTTTATTTTATTTTATTTAAGATTTTATTTATTTATTTGACAGAGATCACAAGTATGCAGAGAGGCAGGCAGAGAGCGGGGGAAGCAGGCTCCCTGCCGAGCAGAGAGCCCGATGCGGGGCTCGATCCCAGGACCCTGGGATCATGACCTGAGCCGAAGGCAGAGGCTTTTAACCCACTGAGCCACCCAGGTGCCCCTATTAACTTATTTTAAAAGATTGAACACTAATGGACCATTGGTGAATTACTAGACTATATTCAACTACTCAAACAGAGGAGCCATTTGTTCACTCCATTTCTTTAATGTTTTATTTCCTCACTGGTAAAGACAAAAGGTAGAAGAAGATTATCTCCATGATCCAGGGAATCCCTGGGGATTCCATGATTCCCCCCAGGAACGCATGTGTGGCTCAGCCATTTAAAGCATCCAACTCTTGATTTCGGCTCGGGTCACAATCTCAGGCTTGTGAAATCAAGCCCCACATCAGGTTCTGCACCAGTGGGCAATCTGCTTGTGGATTTTTCTCTCCCACTTCCTCAGCCCCTCCCTTTCCCCCCATCTCTATCACTCTAAAATAAATAAATCTTTAAAAAAAATGCCATGATTCCCCCAATAAAGTTTGGAAAAAATAGAGATGATTTTATAATATCTTTTAAGGAAATGAAAAATGGGGCACCTGGCCGGCACAGTCTGTTAAGCAGCTAACTCTTGATTTCAGCTCAAATCATTATCTCACAGTTCTGCAAATGAGCCCCAAGTTGGGCTCTGCCAGCAGGTGGAGTCTGCTTGGGATTCTCTCCCTCTTCTTCTGTCCCTCCCCGCACTCACACATGAGTGCACTCTCCCTCTCTAAAATAAATAAATATATAAATCTTTTTTAAAAAGAAAGCAATGAAAAACCAAACATTAATAAATGTTCTTTGAATTATTACAACCACAAATGTCATGGCTCAGTTGAAAATAGAAGCTGATCTTTATATACCATTTTACAAAACTATCAATTACAGATTTTTTCTTCTAGATGTAGAACACTCAAATATCTTCAAACTTGCAAATAAATGTCAGATGCCCTAATTTTCCTTCAAAAATACCTAAATGAAAATTTTTAAATGAATGCTTTACCTAACTAAAAGAAAATTTCTCCCCACAAAACTGGCACTCTCATACACTGATGTTAGAAATTTGATTCGCCTTCTTGTAAGGTGATTTTTAATTCCTATGAAAGTTCATAGTGCTAATCTCTGAGTGGTGAGTTTACTTGCAATGTTTTATTGCATGTATATATGAATACAGATGGGTTCAGAAGTGCAAGGATAGACTCATTTTAATACTCTGTTGGGTTGGGGCACCTGGGTGGCTCAGTCAGTTAAGCATCAGACTCTTGATTTCAACTCAGGTCATGATCTCAGTCATGAGATGGAGCCCTGTGTCCAACTCTGCACTTAGTACAGAGTCTCCTTGAGATTCTCTTTCTTCCTCTCCCTCTGTACCCCCCAACCAGCTTGATCACATGTGTGCTCTCTCTTTGTCTCTCTAAAATATATAAATAAATAAATATAAATATAGAAAATCTTTTTTAAAAATACTCTACTGAGGCATTATTTTTAAAGTGTGTATATGTGCGCAAGTGTGTGTGTTTCCATTAAATTTCACATCTCAACAAAGAGAATGATCGGGGATTCTTGAATATTACCTATTAAGTCTTCTTTTTGCTTTCTTAAACAAAAAGTTTGACCAGAAACATAAGATGCTGTAAAATAGTATGAAATACAGAATATATCTATCAGGAGGAACATGTGAAAGTGCTCATGAAAATGTATGCCTACAGTTGCTCAAAGCCTAGATGAATAAATATGTAACTAGATGAATAAATATGCATGCAGATATTTCTGATTATTTTAACAGATGTCAACTAACCATGTTTCCAAAGCTTCATTTAGAACACTACATTAAATTGCTGTAAAACAAACTCATACCAGGAAATGAGTTACAAAATAATTGTGATATATTCCTCTGATACATGTTGAATTCAATCTCATGTCTCATAGAGATACACTATCCTTCAGATGTAGGAACTCAAATTTCCTTAGTCATCCAAAAGTCTCCATATGTTTCCTTACCAACACAGAATATTTGACTCAAACAATGAGAATTTTCAAAAACAGGAAATGATACATAGAAATGTTTCTACTTCACTCTTAGTTATCCAAAATAGTCCATTGGCCAGAATGTTGATTGCATTGGCTAAGCATTCCAGTTAATCGAGGCTTTTTCTACATATGAAAGTGAAGATAATCTGAAGAAAATCTAAACACTCTGGCCAGTAAACATTGAAATAATGACTCTGACACTCACCGTATTGCATATGTAGAAGCTGTAATCATTAGGAAGAGCACCAACACCATGCCGACCCCTGTCAGCCCAGGAACTATAAATAATGGATATAAGGACATTTCAACTTAAACCATACTGAGAAAAAAGTAGAAAAATTATTACTTTAAAAAATCCAAATTACCATGCTGCTCTGTGGGAAGCCCAATTCAAATCGCCTATCTCCTTGTATGTTCCCTCTCCAAAAAAGCCTTTTTAAAATTTAAAAACTTAAAAACAGTTTTAAAGTACTTAAGACAAAGCAGCCTTTCTACCTTTAACAGAAGAGTCCACCTCAGTATTTTCAAGTATCCCACTCAGAATGGTGAATGTGTACATACTTGGGACACATTCTACCAAATGTACATACTATATCGAATGTCAGTGATGAAGACAACAGACAGTTTTGGAACACTGAAGAAAGAAAAGAAAAGAAAAAAAAAAAAAAAACAGACAGAAATTAAATATATGTGTAATGGAGAAGCAAAGAGGGACAGCAGGGAAAAACTTCCAAAGACATGAAGAAATGTGAAAGACGGAGTGTTAAGATATGTTCATTATATTGATAGTGATGATGGTTTCATGGATATATGCAAGAGTCAAAACTTATGAGAGTACGCATTAAATAGTACAATTTATTAGATCTTAATTATACATTAATAAAATTGTTTTAAAGGAGGGAAAAATACACAACAGGGCTGGGTTGACATGGAACACTATTTACTGTGTTGTTGTATTTTTTTCCTCCACCACAATACTAAAACTCCCTTACTCTCTCAGCACCTCCCTCCCCTTTTATGGAACTAGTATCTGCTTCAGTTTCAATTCAAATAATTTCTTTTGTGCTTTCCTATCTAGAATGAATAATTTTAAAGAAAAAATAAAACCTAAAGCTTCTAAAAACCACAATGTCAAGTGCAGAACAAAACAATCGTAGATCTCAAGGAAAAGAAAAAAAAAACTAGAGTGCTGATGTTTCCTTAGTATGGAAAATATGCTGTAATCAGTGCTTCTGATATTATATAATACCATTTTTTAACAAAGAAAAAAACTGTGCAAACCTGTTGGTTTTCAAACTTAATGGTGATGTGATAGGTGGCTAAAAATCCAATGTTAGCCCATATAGCACAGCCTATCGAGGAGAGGAGTCAAGACGGCGGAGAAGTAGCAGGCTGAGACTACTTCAGGTTGCGGGAGATGAGCTAGATAGCTTATCTAAAGATTGCAAACACCTACAAATCCGACGGGAGATCGAAGAGAAAAACAGCAATTATAGAAACAGAAAATCAACCACTTTCTGAAAGGTAGGACTGGCGGAGAAGTGAATCCAAAGCGACGGGAAGATAGACCGCGGGGGGAGGGGCCGGCTCCCGGCAAGCGGCGGAGCAACGGAGCCAAAATCAGGACTTTTAAAAGTCTGTTCTGCTGAGGGACATCACTCCAGAGGCTTAACCGGGGTGAAGCCCACGCGGGGTCAGTGTGGCCTCAGGACCCGCAGGGTCACAGAAGGATTGGGGTGTCTCAGTGTCGCAGAGCTTGCAGGTATTAGAATGGGGAAGCCGGCTACAGAGACGGAGCCGAGGATGACTCTCAGCTCGGGGTTACCTTGAACAGGTAGCAAGCTCCGTCAGCTCGGAGCGTGGCCGGAGGCAAGGGTGACGGGAGTAATTGGGTGCTATTCTCTGAGGGCGCACTGAGGAGTGGGGCCCCAGACTCTCGGCTCCACCGGGCCGGAGACTGGGAGGCCGCCATCTTCATTCCCGTCCTCCGGAACTCTACGGAAAGCGCGCAGGGAACAAAAGCTCCCGAAAGCAAACCCGAGCGGATTACTCAGCCCGGCCCCTGGTAAGGGAGGTGCAACTCCGCCTGGGGCAAAGACACTTGAGAATCACTACAACAGGCCCCTCCCCCAGAAGATCAATGAGAAACCCAGCCAGGACCAAGTTCACTTACGAGGAGTGCAGTTTCAATACCAAGGAGGGCAGCGGAATTCCAGAGGAGGAGAAAGCAAAGTACGGAACTCATGGCTTTCTCCCCATGATTCTTTAGCTTTGCAGTTAATTTAATTTTTTTCTTTTTCAATTTTTTTTCCTCTCTTTTTCCGCTAAATTTTTTTAACATTTACCCTTTTCTTTTTTAACGTTTTTTAACTAGTTTATCTAATATATATATATTTTTTTTTCCTTTTTATATTTTTTCATTATTGGTTTTCTTTTGTTCTTTTTTTATTTCTTTGTTTTTTCTTTTTTCTTTTTTTTTTTTCTTTCTGAACCTCTTTTTATCCCCTTCCCCCCCCTCCCTCCACGATTTGGGATCTCTTCTGATTTGTCTAAAGCATATTTTCCTTGGGTTGTTGCCACCCTTTTAGTATTTTACTTGTTCCTTCATATACTCTTATCTGGACAAAATGACAAGGCGGAAAAATTCACCACAAAAAAAAGAACAAGAGGCAGTACCAAAGGCTAGGGACCTAATCAATACAGACATTGGTAATAGGTCAGATCTAGAGTTCCGAAAGACGATTCTCAAGGTTCTAGCTCGGCTCGAAAAAGGCATGGAAAATATTAGAGAAACCCTCTTGGGAGATATAAAAGCCCTTTCTGGAGAAATAAAAGAACTAAAATCTAATCAACTTGAAATCAAAAAAGCTATTAATGAGGTGCAATCAAAAATGGAGGCTCTCACTGCTAGGATAAATGAGGCAGAAGAAAGAATTAGCGATATAGAAGACCAAATGACAGAGAATAAAGAAGCTGAGCAAAAGAGGGACAAACAGCTACTGGACCACGAGGGCAGAATTCGAGAGATAAGTGACACCATAAGATGAAACAACATTAGAATAACTGGGATTCCAGAAGAAGAAGAAAGAGAGAGGGGAGCAGAAGGTATATTGGAGAGAATTATTGGAGAGAATTTCCCCAATATGACAAAGGGAACAAGCATCAAAATCCAGGAGGTTCAGAGAACCCCCCTCAAAATCAATAAGAATAGGTCCACACCCCGTCACCTAATAGTCAAATTTACAAGTCTTAGTGACAAAGAGAAAATCCTGAAAGCAGCCCGGGAGAAGTCTGTAACATACAATGGTAAAAATATTAGATTGGCAGCAGACTTATCCACAGAGACCTGGCAGGCCAGAAAGAGCTGGCATGATATATTCAAAGCACTAAACGAGAAAAACATGCAGCCAAGAATACTATATCCAGCTAGGCTATCATTGAAAATAGAAGGAGAGATTAAAAGCTTCCAGGACAAACAAAAACTGAAAGAATTTGCAAACACCAAGCCAGCTCTACAGGAAATATTGAAAGGGGTCCTCTAAGCAAAGAGAGACCCTATAACTAGTAGATCAGAAAGGAACAGAAACAATATACAGTAACAGTCACCTTATAGGCAATACAATGGCACTAAATTCATATCTCTCAATAGTTACCCTGAATGTTAATGGGCTAAATGCCCCAATCAAAAGACACAGGGTATCAGAATGGATCAAAAAACAAAACCCATCTATATGTTGCCTACAAGAAACTCATTTTAAACCCGAAGACACCTTCAGATTTAAAGTGAGGGGGTGGAAAAGAATTTACCATGCTAATGGACATCAGAAGAAAGCAGGAGTGGCAATCCTTATATCAGATCAATTAGATTTTAAGCCAAAGACGATAACAAGAAATGAGCAAGGACACTATATCATACTCAAAGGATCTGTCCAACAAGAAGATCTAACAATTGTAAATATCTATGTCCCTAACGTGGGAGTAGCCAACTATATAAACCAATTAATAACAAAATCAAAGAAACACATCAACAATAATACAATAATAGTAGGGGACTTTAACACTCCTCTCACTGAAAGGGACAGATCATCCAAGCAAAAGATCAACAAGGAAATAAAGGCCTTAAATGACACACTGGACCAGATGGATATCACAGATATATTCAGAACATTTCATCCCAAAGCAACAGAATACACATTCTTCTCTAGTGCACATGGAACATTCTCCAGAATAGATCACATCCTCGGTCCTAAATCAGGTCTCAACCGGTATCAAAAGATTGGGATCATTCCCTGCATATTTTCAGACCACAATGCTCTGAAGCTAGAACTCAATCACAAGAGGAAATTTGGAAAGAACCCAAATACATGGAGACTAAACAGCATCCTTCTAAAGAATGAATGGGTCAACCAGGAAATTAAAGAAGAATTGAAAAAATTCATGGAAACAAATGATAATGAAAACACAAGAGTTCAAAATCTGTGGGACACAACAAAGGCAGTCCTGAGAGGAAAATATATAGCGGTACAAGCCTTTCTCAAGAAACAAGAAAGGTCTCAGGTACACAACCTAACCCTACACCTAAAGGAGCTGGAGAGAAAACAAGAAAGAAACCCTAAACCCAGCAGGAGAAGAGAAATCATAAAGATCAGAGCAGAAATCAATGAAATAGAAACCAAAAAAACAATAGAACAAATTAACGAAACTAGGAGCTGTTTTTTTAAAGAATTAATAAGATTGATAAACCCCTGGCCAGACTTATCAAAAACAAAAAAAGAGAAAGGACCCAAATAAATAAAATCATGAATGAAAGAGGAGAGATCACAACTAACACCAAAGAAATACAGAAAATTATAAGAACATACTATGAGCAACTCTATGCCAACAAATTTGACAATCTGGAAGAAATGGATGCATTCCTAGAGACATATAAACTACCACAACTGAACCAGGAAGAAATAGAAAGCCTGAACAAACCCATAACCAGTAAGGAGATTGAAACAGTCATCAAAAATCTCCAAACAAACAAAAGCCCAGGGCCAGATGGCTTCCCGGGGGAATTCTACCAAACATTTAAAGAAGAACTAATTCCTATCCTCCTGAAACTGTTCCAAAAAATAGAAATGGAAGGAAAACTTCCAAACTCATTTTCTGAGGCCAGCATCACCTTGATCCCAAAACCAGACAAGGATCCCATCAAAAAAGAGAACTACAGACCAATATCCTTGATGAACACAGATGCAAAAATTCTCACCAAAATACTAGCCAATAGGATTCAACA